TAATATATATTTTTGATTATATGCAATAGTAGATTGAAAATAATTCATATTATATAGTTATAACTTTTAAACAAGAAAAAATTTAAAATTCTATTTTTAAAATAATTAAAATTTTAAAGATTATTCAATAGTATAATGTATTAATTAAAATAATAACAAAATACATGTAAATATGTCCTAACAAGAAACTGTGTGTGTGTGTGTGTGTGTGTACGTATGATGTATGTATATTATGTGTATATTTAACTAGAACTCAAGTTTAGAGAATAAATATGGCAACAATGTCCAAATTTTTAATATAGTCAATCAAGTATTAGAAGTCTTTAAAAGTTACTAGAAGTTACTTCAGATTCTCACGAATTTTCATATTTTATATTTTTATAAACTATTTATTTATATGAAAAAAACTATGATTTCATGTAATTCTCTAACTTTTTAAAAATACAAAATTTTGTATACAAATAATATTTTCGCCAACATATTCGAATATCAAAATAAAATAAAACACATAAATTGAAATTCAAAAAGTTTAATGTTTTTTTTTAAATTTAGTTAATAGATATTCACAAATACAAATAACGCTATTTTTTTCATTTATTATTGTATTTTTCTTTTTTTCTATGTATATAGTTATTTATTAGAAACTAAAATCAGAATTTTAAAATTCTTATTTTACATATCTTAATTTTTAGCAATTACAGTATAATAATTTAGTAATAGTTATAATTATTATAATATTATTATTATATAAATATTATATAATATTGTCAGTTTTTTATATTAAAATTTTATAAATTAATTAATAAATAAAAAATATAAAATATATATAATAAAATATAATAAAAAATATAATAAAAAATAATTAAATTATAAATTATAAATATAATAAGTAATAAATTATATATAATTATTTATAATATATTATAAATTATCGTTTTCTAACATAATTTATTATTTGGAATTGATTCAATGATATTTTCTGCGAATTACTCATCTTTATTTATATGTCTAATCGCTTTCGTTTAATATTAGAAATCTTATTTCTTTTTCACATATATTAATTTATTTAAATTAATATCAATTCATTATGTAAACTAAACTATAACCTTAAAATTTATATACTTATCACTTGCTTATATTACTTTTATTTTCTGTAATTATAATTAAACATTTATACTTGAGTATACAAGAATTATATATATATATATATATATATATATATA